CTGGTTAGAGATTCATGAGTCTAACAGCCTCAGGGTAGAAGCTGTTCCTCAGTCTAGTGGTTCTACACTTAATGCTCCTCAACCTCCTTCCTGAGGGGAGCGGGGCAAAAAGTGTGTGTGCTGGGTGAGTGTGGTCCTTCATGATGCAGGTGGCCCTCTTCCTGCATCTGGAGGTGTAGATGTCTGTGATGGTGGGGAGGCTGACTCCAACATCTTCTGTGCAGCCTTCACCACTCTCTGCAAAGCTTTTCTTTCTGCAGCTGTGCAGCCTCCAGGAGTTGAGATATTATTTGAGCTTTTGAGATGTTAATCAGCCGTTCCTGGATGTTAAAAAAAAAAAAAAAAAAACTTGTTGCCATGGTTACGCATCATAACAAATGTCCAAAACTAAAAATGTTTCAGTAAAAATCCTTCCAGCTGCTCATCACCCGATACCAGAGGAAACAATCGTCACAAAAATGTGATTTACATCCAGAGAGGAATTAAAATTTCCAAAAGCAAAATCTCAGAAAGTAACAGAGCTGCTCCAACATGCAGCCACCTGGAGCGGCGCAATTCTAGTTTTTTAATGTTAGAATAAATAATTATTTGTTTCATTCTTAGTTAAAACAAGCAGAAGCTAAAATACAGCTAAAAACTGGCATAACAGTAGCTAAAAGCTAAACTAGCAAAACCATAGATAAAAGCAAAATGTAGCAAAACAGTAACTAAAAAACTTTGTTGAAGCAGATTTTATGAATTACAATAATTTGGAAGGAACTGAAGCGATATTAATGTTTCTCTGAGGATTTTAAAAATAAGTAATGTTAAATAATTCAGAAGCGACAGAGATTAAAAGTTATAGCACAGTGAACGAGCTGAACGTCTTAATTTATGAATTTATAAAACTTTGAGTCCAACAAAACAAAACAGAGGAAAATATAAAGAGTTAAACTTTAATTTTGGTTTTAGTTGTTTTACGTCGGTCACGTGATCGTTGTCTTTAGCTTAAAGTCTTTAAAATAAATGAGGTCATTCATTTGTTCATGAATCTGTATCTCAGTTTGCTCCTTAAAGAAAACGCCAAGATTTTAATGATGGGTTTGTTAAAACCATAACGAGACATTAACTCGGAATTTTGCCGTGCGGCGGCGGGTGATATGCATTCCTGAGAACCCAAGCAGAGACCACAGAGATGTTGTTTCCTGAAGACAGAAGCAGAAGGTCAGAGGTGGAAAGACGCCGCTGCAGATGCTCCCATAAATAATTCAGGATCAGAGTAATACCTGAGCCTCCATCGAGGGGGGGGTACTGTCAAAGGCTAAGCCTGATTTCAAACACATGAGCCGGCGAGGTGAATAAACGTGAGGGTCGGGTTCAGCTCTGTGCAGGAGGGGAAGCCGTTCATTGGAAACGATCTCACTCTGATTTACCGACGACTCGGTCAAAAACAGGAAATTCACTCCGGTGCTGGATAATTCCTGGAGGTCAAACACCCGCTGCAGCTGCCGTGCACACAGCAGGTCGTTCCAGACCGCCTCCACAGATCAGAATCCCAAACAGCTTCAGAATGGACAGAGCGTGAAATAAAAAGTCTGAATGCATATCGCCCGCCACCTTTCCTCTCAGAGGTTAGGACTCAGATTAGCTGTCGGCCTTTAGTTGAAGGCATTCCTTTGTCAGTCACAGCGTGGCAGCCATGTGCCCTCCTCTTCATCACATCCAGACCAGCCTGAGCTGCGTGAACTCTGAGTGAAGAGGGTAATCCTGTTTATCCTTCTAGTTCAGCTGTTTGACATCAAAGCACACGGTCCACAGGTCACACTGCCTGTGCAGCTCAGGGGTCTGCAACCTGTGGCTCCGGGGCCACATGGGGCCCTCTGGCTAAAATGAGATGGACTGAAAAATATAAAGAATATTTACAACAATGGCGGGTTTTGGCTGTTTCTCTGAGTGAAGTCACAGCTGAAAGCTGAACTAACTGGTAAAGCTAAAACAAGCAGAGCAGCTAGAAGTTGAACGAGATTCTAGCTACAAACAGAAAATAGCAAAACTCTAAATCTATCTAGCTAAAAGATGAAGAAAATCATCATTAAAAGCTGAAATTAACAAAGATGTTGCTAAAGGCTAAAATTAGCATAATGGTGGCTAAAAGCTGCATCGGGAGCTCAGATGAGCTAAACTAGAAAATAAAAAAGGCTAAACTGTTGCAAAAAGCTACAAAAGACAAAACAGTAGCTAAAAATACAATAACAAGTGTTAAGTTCAGCAAAACTGTTGCTAAATGCTAAAAGTAACTAAACTGGAGCCTAAAGCTAAAATTTGTATTAAAAATATAATTTGCTAAAAACTGAAATTAGAAAAATCTCTAAAACCTTAAATTTGCTTAAATGTAGAAATACTGTAAATAAAAGCTACAACTGTGGAAACTAAAATAAAAAGAAGATTAATGTAGATATAAAATAATAATAATAATAATAATATGAAAGATAAATATAAATTAATTTGAATTTAAAGTTAAATAGAATAATAATAATAAGAAGAAAATAATAACAGCAGTTAGTCTCGTCATTAATCAGCCTTTTCTAAATCCAGCAGAAAATTAAACGTTCAACACGTTCATGAGACTAAATACGTTTTTTTCACGTCTGTCAGAATATTTTAGATCATTGAACTGTTTTTTTATTTTCCAAACAAAATAAAAATGATTTTCTGTGTTTAAACTTAAATAAAGTAAAAATGTTTTTATTTTTATTTTGTCCTAACTTGTAAATCCTCAGAAATAACATTTTATTATAACTCTTTGTTCCATAAAGTAACGAGCTCTGGTTTTATGTTACTTTCTCTTTTCAGGCATCTTTGTGGCTCAGATAGACGTGATCAGTAAGATCTGTTTGTTTGTTTGTTTGTTTGTTTGTTTGTTTGTTCCCAGCTGAGCTCAGACCAGTTCAATGTTTCCTCAGGGAGACGCTGCCACCTGCTGTCAGATCACACCTGTCCACATCTGTCCACATCTGTCCACGATCGTCTTTTCTGCTCACACGTTTTGATCTCGTGTTTTTCAGAACCTGACAGAAAACGACATCAGCAAGTTTAGTCTCGTCCATCAGCCGTGAGTTACACTATCACTCATTTCATCCCTTTCCTGCCATCATGTCTGATTCCTGACATTTATTGTAAATATAAAAACTATTCAAATTAAAAACCAAGCAGTCCTCAAACAAATGCATATCGCCCGCCACCCTCGGTGCCGGAGTTTTAGACTGAGATCATCTTGGCGGGTGATATGCATTCCTATATTATGAGGTTCAGATTTTTATTATTTTACCTTATGAAAATTCAATTATACAAAATAAAACTTTCCATATTTTCACAACTAGTGACTTTATGAAGAAACGATGACAGTTTTTATATTTTCAATAAAGGGCGAAGATGTTTCGTTTTGGTTTAAATGTAGCAAACATCTGGATAACCTCAGAGTGAAACAGCAGGTGGTCCTCTGATAAAAACTGCTTCTTGTGATCCGGTTCATCGAGCAGCTGTTGAAGCAGGAAACGGTTCTTTTATTATTAAAACCATCAGAGCGCTCGGCCTCATCTGTCAGTGATGAAGGAACGAGACGAGAACAAATAAAACAAGTTTTTTTGGCTCATGATGAATTAGACGAGTGATTTATTGACGAGTCAATAATCAATAGTTTCAGCAGCTTCCTGTTTCTTTTTCATTCAACCTTTATTTAAACAGATAAATCACATTGAGCCTCAAAGACTCATTTACAAGTGAGACCTGTTTGGACAGACAAAAACTGGTTAACTGGACACATGGAGGAGTTGGAGGCGAAAAAAGTTCCTATCACTTTTTTCCTGCCTGAGAAAAAAAAACCTCTAATATTAAAAAAACACCTCGCACAAACAAGCACATATTGACGTAGACAATCTGTAGACGGGGGAGATGAGAGCGGTCTGCAATGTTCATAGATGCTCTCAAGGGCACTGTAAGAGTTCTGATAAGGATGTGATAATCAGCCAGTGTCCTCCGGTGAGATCCATAAACATTCTCGAGGGATGTCGAGGAATGGCCAAGAATAACGTCTGAGAGAATCCAAGAGTCCTGAAATGATGACACAAAGTTTATTCAGCTGGTTCATCTGGTTGTTAGTTGGAAATTCCTCAAGGAGGGGGTGGTGAGCGTCAGATCACATGTTCTCCAGGTGAATTCAGATAAGATGGCCTTCAAGACCAGCCAAGGGAGCCAAATTCAGATAAACACAGTTGTTTTGAGGACAGGCAGATTTTAATGACATCTACCTTCAGTCTGTGTTGGTCCACTCGGTTCTGAAATGTCCAAATTACATGGCCACACCGATGGAACGTGACTGAGTAAAATCCCCAAGATCTGATCCATTCAGCCCAAAGCATTTGAGTCTGGGTACTCGAGACACGAATCAAGCCATCATAAAGGCAAGCAGCGTGATCGGGTCAAAATTTGCTGCCGACGACTTCCTTGCTTGTAGATAAAACCAGCAACCAGCCGAATCCAAAAAGCAGGAACCAGTTATTGTAAATCCAATTAAATATGCGTCCTTAAAATCCACAGATGGCAGCAAAGATAGACACATCATCAAGTCTTCAGTTGATGAGATATCCAGCTGCGTGCGTGCCAACAGGGTAAATCAGCTCGCCTAAAGCCTGTCTTCTCTTCAAGAAATGTTGTAAATTGAGTTGAGGGACTAACTGGTCAAAACAAGTCCATAATTATGGTTCAGAAGATGCAAGAGAGGCTCAGAAGCAGTTTCACAGACAGACAGAGCAGAAAAACAAAGCGGGGAGGGAGGGAGGGAAGCATCCGACCTCGGCGAGAGCAAGTGATGAATGACGCCTTCAGCAGAAACACCAACAGCCCTGTGACAACAGGACACAATGTGGTGGCGTCTTCTGAGGCAGGAAGGGCTGCACTCGTTTTCTTAAGCGAGTTAAAAATAAAACCACTCAGGAGTCAAGACTACCAGCTGAGGCTGAGGTCCTGGACCAGCTGAGGTTGAGGTCCTGGACCGGCTGAGGCTGAGGTTGAGGTCCTGGACCGGCTGAGGTCCTGTCAGACGAACATGGACCTTTTTCAACCGAAGGACTTCAAGTATCTCTGGGTTTTTGTTCTCAGTGAGGGAAGAATTGGTGCAGCTTCTGCAGTATTGTGGACTCTGAGCCGGTCCGTTGTGGTGAAGAAGGAGTTGAGCTCTAAAGAGAAGCTCTGTTTTCCACTCAGTCTACGTTCCTACCCTCACCTGTGGTCCTGAACTCTGGTAGAGACTGAAAAAAACAGACCCTGGATCCAGGAGGTCTAGATGAGTTCTCTCTGCAGGGTAGCTGGACTCTCCTTAGAGATTGGGTGAGAAGTTCAGTTCTCCAGGAGAGACCTGGAGTAGAACCGCTGCTCCTCCACATCCAGAGGAGCCAGTTGAGGAGGTTCAGACATCTGGATGGACCAGGTGCTCCAGGCCGACATGTTTGTGTTACTGTTAAAAACACAGGAAGTCTCAGGAGACTGAAGACAAGAAATGATAAATGTATCTACAATATCTGCAGCGGCTGGACTCAGGAGAAGTTTCTGCAGAGGCACAAGGTGAACGTGTGTTTTTCTAGGTGGACGGTCTTCTGGACAGTAATAGTTAAAATGACTCGGGGTGCAGGAGTTTCAGGTCTGGAGAGGAGGGTCAGATTCCCAGTTCCAGGAGGGTTGGTATGGGAGGTGAGGGTCGCAGGTCGGTGTTGGAGGGTGGCAGGTCGGACCAGGATGCAGAGGTGACAGATGTTTCCAGTTACACCGTCCAAACGCTCCGAGGCAGTGCTCAGGCAAGAGGACACAGGAACCAGATTCTCACGAGGAAAACACGATTAGTTTCAGTTTCTAGATTGACACCAGGAGCTGTGTCTGAACACCATGCAGAGGACAACATCTGGGCGTCCTCCTCTGGTCCTTAAATGCAGCCGGCGGCTCGTTAGAGCGACGAGCCCCAGCTGAGGAGGAGCAACTCCTCCCTGCCTCTCAGGAGCTGCAGAAAGGAGGAGACCCAGGACGCCCTGGAGAGACCATGTCTCTGCTGGTCTGGGGAGTCCTTGAGTCCTCCCAGAAGAGCTGGAAGAGGTGGCTGGACCTCCCTGATCAACCTGCTGAGTCCGAGACCCGAGTCCAGAACAGATGAGTGAATGAGTCCTGTGACAGGAAACGGGTTTGGGTCTCGGCAGCGAAAGAAACGAACGGTTTGAAGCTCAGAGTTTTAAACACGAAGCATCAAAATAATCTTGAACAGAAACGTTCTCAAAGAACCTTGTAGAACCTGACGCAGCTGCAGCTCAGAGTTTCTTTGTGCGTCGTGTTTCTCCTCTAAAGATGAGACGATCTGACAAATCAATCAAACACAACCAAGACCCAAAGCAGAGTTCACGCTGCGGCTCGTCGGCACCTTTTATTAAAGTTTCCTCGTCAAGCCACGTTTTCATGTTTCTGTCAAAGCTGCAGGAAGACGAGAGAATTCAAAAGAACATCTTATTGTTCTGCACGTGGCCATGAATCATTTCGTGTTGGCTGGTGTCCTTTGTGAAGAGTCTGGGTCAGTCCTGGCTCTCAGCTCCTCACCTGTCCCTGGTGGGTGAGCGGCTCGTTCAGTTTCTGCTTGACGAGTGAATCTGAGGAACGTTGAGAAACACGTGACTCACAAGTGTGGTCAGAAATGAGAAGTGATTTGTTTCCAACCGGAGCAGCTGCTGAACCAGAACCACCACCTCCTCCCTTTAACGACACCAAGCCGCAGCTCTCATTTCCACGTCTGTCGCCGACCTGCGAGCTGAGCGCGACGGCCCCGAGGACTCCAACATGTGAACATGAACCTGGACCGGATCAACAAACTCACCGCTCCGGCCTCAGCCAAGATCCGGTAAGAAGCAGGGCCTTGTTTCTGTCGAGGACGCAGCTGGAACAGAACAAAAAGCTGCGGCTTCTTTTTTCTTCTTTTGCTTAAGAAGTAAAGAAAACGCAAAGTAACGTCGGTTGTTCTTTGAAGGAACTCGCTTCACACCCGCCGCCTTTCCTGCCAGAGTTTTAAATGAAATCTTAATTCATTAACAATCTGTAAGCACTCAGAGTGTGTGATGGGTATGACTCTCAGCTACTACCACGCCAAACTTTAGCTCCATATCTGTAAAAGTGACAGAGCCGTTGTCGTTTTGGGGTTTGAGACGGTCAGTTAGCCGTGGCGGACATCTTGAATTGAGTTGACTCCAGAAGTCAATCAGCTGTAGACGCACATCCAATAATTATTCTTTGACAGTTTCATTCAAATCCATCCACTGATGCATGAGATATTTTGCTAACAGACAAACAAGGTTTACACCAACAGTAAATGTCAGCGTTTAAAGCAACTTCGTGTGTGATCTGTCAGGGATGACTCTCGGCTACTACCACCTGAACTTCAGCTCAGTTTCAGTAAAATGGACCTAAGTTCAACCCGTTTCTGTTTGATGCGGCGGCCATCTTGAACTGGACTGAGTCCAAAACTGAAACGGTTATAAAAGTAAATCCAGCAGTTATCGTCTGAGAAGTTCATGAAAGTCTGTTCAGTGGTTGATGAGATATTTTGCTGACAATAACAGAAACAATAAGCAGGTTCTTCAGTGAAACCTGTGAGTGAGAACGCAGCTGCTCCGTCAGGGTTGTCTTCTAATTGTTTTGTTGTTTGTTTGTTTGTTTGTTAGAACAGCAGCGTTTATCTTCCAGGACGCTCTTCCTGTTGTTGTTTATTTTTCAGGCAGCTCCAGAAGATTGTTCAGGACATCAGGAAAAACGACGGCAGCTTATTGGACCGACTCCGGAGGTTGGTCTCATGTTGGTTCTACGTTCCGTCGGGTTCTGTGTTCCGGTACCGAACAGCAAAACGAACTGTGGAAACGTTCCTGTAAGATGCTCGGCTCTTTCTTTACAAAAGTCGGCTGATGTGAAAACTCTGCGTGTGGCTTCAACCACGCATGGCCGGAGAACGCAGATTCCTCTTTCACAACCGCTGGAAAAACAGACAAAGCCCCGGAGGAGAACCGCGCAGCAGATGCTGCGTCTCACTTTCCTTTCCTGAAACGAGTCTTTTTAAAAACCTCGTGATTCTAACGCTCACCACCGGCCTGATGGAGGGAAACAGAAAACACGTTCAAGAAGTCCCTCGTTGCTTCCCTGATAAACACGATGCTGAAGTTTGTCTTTTCTTTACAACAGACTGAAGACCAAAACCCGTCCAGCCGTACCGGTGAGGGACTACAGAGGTAAGACCTGAACCTTAAGACCAGGAACACATGGCAGCTCTTTCACTAGCTCAGAAACCCCTAACTGTGTGGACTGATGTTCTGTCCAACACTTATCAGCAGTTGATTCTTCATCAGCCGTGACTTCAGTACAATACGCGGAGAAAGAGTCTTCATCCAGGCTAGGCTAACGGCTAGCTAAGCGAGGGCCAGTTTTTATTGTTTTTCAGGACTGTTAAACAAATCTCTCCAAAAATGAAGTCCTGGTGTAAAGAAAACATGAGCCGACGGCACAAAGCTGTTCATTTATTTGTTGCTTTCTTTATGTGCAAACCACAAGTTGTTTCAAAGAAGTTCTTGACCCGTGAGCGGCAGAAGGTTCTCGTGCTTCATTTGAGTTTTTCTGTGGTGTTTTGTGTTGAAGATGGTTCAGTGTTACAGCAGTGAATGTATGGAAGGACCTGGACATAGCGATCCATTTACTACGGTGGCCCTAAGGTGTCAATGAACAACATTTGAAAAATCAGAATTGCATTGAGCCAAACAGGAATTTTTTTTTGTTGTTTTTTTACTTTATTAACATCATAAAACCGAAGAACAGAACAATATACAGTACATCCTGATACATGATCAATAATCCAGGTAGCTGTTATTGCTAGTATCACTCAGCACCCTGTGAATAGCAAACGGCCACTCGGGCACTAACGATCAGTTGTTAGGCTGACGGTCCTCCTTTTACATGTGAACATCTAGTTCTGGTTGATCCACCCTGAGAAGGTGCTCTTTATAAGACTGAGCTGAATACAGCACCTCAGACTGAGGAAGTCACTCGGATGAGAGACGAAACATTTCTACGATTTTATTGTTGTTTTTATTGTTGTTTTTTGAACATCCAGAGGATGTGACAACTTTTTTATAATATACAGTACACACATATCTCTGTTGTTCGGTTTTATGCTGTTAATAAAGTTTAAAAAAAAACTTCCTGTTTGGCTTAATGTAATTCTGTTTTTTCAAATGTTGTTCATTTACACCTTAGGGCCACCGTAATTTGCAGATCAAATGGGATGACTTTATTACAAACGATGAACTTCTAGACCGTGCCAAGTCTGAGGACATTAAGAACACACTTTTCAGAAACGGACTGGGCTGAGTGGGACATGGTGATGAAATGGAAGGAAACTAAAGTCTGCCAAAGTGGTGGAGTTGTGTTGACGACAACTGTAGAAAGAGTTCAGCAGAAAAGAACAAAGAAAAAGAGCCAAGCAGCATGAGAAGAGGAGAGAAGAGGGAAGAGGAGAGAAGAGGAGAGGGAAGAGAAGAGGAGAAAAG